TTAGAGTATATTTTTATTGGCTTGCACATTTATTGACTAGTTTTGGAGTTTTGAGCATCTGTTCGAGTCATCGGAAGGGCTTGGGAGCCGGTTATGGAGCTTCGGAGCGAGGTAAGTCTCCTTTCTAACTTTGTAAGAGGAAATTAATCCCATAGGCGAACTAAATTATTACATGCTTCTATTTGTGGGGGCTACGTACGTGCGAGGTGACGAGAGTCCGTACGTAGCTACTTATTATGCCTATGTCCGGGTAGTTCTAGGCTTACACCATGATTTGCTAATACCGTTATCTAATCCTGTTATTTACTTGTCTTGAAAGGAATTTAGATTGAGTATGTTTATTAAATGCCTTGAAAGGAGTTGAAAGAGAGGATTTCAGGACTTGAAAGTTTCATTTGGATTTCATATGTTGAAAATAATTAAAGAGTATTATAATAATTATTATTTGAGAAATTCTATGTGTAATCGCGTCGCAATTATATTTCGCGAGCGGCGTAAATTTCCACTACTCTTATGGGATCGGACCGTCCGCCTCGGCAGGATTTTGTATTTCAATATTATGGGATTAGGTCGTTCGCCTTGGCAGGATCTATGTACCACACTCTCATTCGCCTCGGCAGGTTAATAGATGCATCTATGGTTCGTGCAGTTCGACCCTCGGCAGGGCACAGTTTATTTATATGTTGGATCGGGCCGTACGCCTCGGCATTTTCTATATCATATCCTTATGGAATCGTGCGTAGTATTCGGCATGCAGCCAGTGTATCCGTGAATTTTTCGGATTTGAATTTATGATAATCTACTTGATGAGGTTCAGTACACCCTTTATGTGTGTGCTCCGGTTAAGGAGGGAATTTCTAATGGGAAGGTTGAGTAAAGAGGAGAATTTGTATCACGTATCTTTATGTTTATTTAATTTATTTATTTACTCTGCCTCATATTTATTTACCTCTTTACTGTACCGATATTATTGGACCACTAGTAAGTGTCAGTCGACCTCTTGTTACTACTTCTTCGAGGTTAGACTGGATACTTACTGGGTACGCATTGTTTTCGTACTCATACTACACTTGTTGTACATTTTGTTGTACATGCACATGTATGCTCAGTTGCCTTGTGGGCGCAACAACGTGGTTTATACGGGGACTTAGGTGAGATGTATTCCATGTTGCCATCCGCGGCCAGCAGAGTCTCCTTCAGAGTGGTTCTATTTTCTTTCCTGTCCAAATTTGTAGACAGATGCTATTTTTTATTTTATTTTATTTCCTAGTAAATGATCATGCACTTGTGACACCGGGTTCTGGGATGAATGTGGGATATTTAGTATTGAAAGTGGAAAACATTATTATTTATTCGGGAAAGTTCATCTTTTACTAGTTAAATTGAAGGAAATTTATGATTTCCAAAATATTGAAATGATAATTTAATTAACTATTTAGTGTTGGCTTGCCTGACAGTGGTGTCCGGCGACATCACGACCTTTAACGGATTTTGGGTCGTGACAAATAAAGCATTAAATTTTTTCTTGGGCCTTGGGGATAATGAAAATTGTTACAAGCCAACAAGTAATTAAACTCAAAATCCTAATTTCTAAACCTATTATACTACTTTTATTGAAACTAAGTTATTTTCAGCATATTCACTAGCAACACACATCTTATTCTAGCGATTATGAGTAGCAAACTACAATGTATTGAATATGTTTCCTTTCACATGATTTAAATTTGTATTTTTAAATATTTAATCTTCTATAGACTTTATTCTTGAGTCCCAACTTGCTTAATATCTATCCACTCGTGTGATTTATATTTCATTTGTCTTTGCTTAGTTTCTTTTGCGTTGCTGTAGAATAGTTGATGGATCTATCCTCTGGGAGTCAATTACTTGAATGGTCGCTCAACTATCTCAAAGAATCTCCTAAAGTCACTTTTCTTCATTTGTAACAACAAAGTCACTAAACTATACCTATTGCACTCGGAAGGTCGCTCAACTAGATTTTCCAAATTTTGGATTGCCAAATACCTATTTTACCCTCTAAATTATAAATATTTATCTTCTTTTATTTTTTTTAAAAACTTTTTAATATTATGATTTTTCCTTTTTTAATTTATATTATGGACTTACCTATAGAATAAATAAATATTATTTATAAATTTAAAAAATAAAAAGCATTATATATATTCCATGCACAACTTAACATAGCATATTTTACCCTATACAGATAGTCCCCCTGCTTTCCGGTGACATAACTTTGTGTCGTCGGAAAGTTGGTAGAAACATAATAATATAATTGAGCATAATTTTCAAGAATATATAATGTATATTATATAAAAATACCTTTATTTAAATATATTTTTTTTATATTACATGCATGGAATATGTATTTTACAACCTTTATTTTCTTTCATTCTGAATTCTGTAAATAAATTTTGAATTTTTGTTGTTAATACTAAAACTATTATTACTTACAAATTATTCTAATTTTTTTTTACTATGCTCATTATTTTGTTATTCCAGCATAATATATGCTTAAATACTTTTTTTTTAAATTTATAAATAATATTTATTTATTCTATAGGTAAGTCCATAATATAAATTAAAAAGGGAAAAGTATAATATTAAAAGTTTTAAAAAAATAAAAAGAAGATAAATGTTTATAATTTAGAGGGTAAAATAAGTATTTGGCAATCCAAAATTTGAAAAATCTAGTTGAGTGACCTTCTGAGTGCAATAGGCATAGTTCAGTGACTTTGTTGTTACAAACGAAAGTAAAGTGATTTTAGAAGATAATTTGAGATAGCTGAGTGACTATTTGAGTAATGGACTCTATACTCTAGCTATCTTTCATGTTTTCTTAATTCATCACTCTTTAATAGAATTATACCGATATCAAAGAAAAACTGACATGATTGGTATGATTTCTAAAAGTCTAAATTTTGGTTATACATAATAGAATAACCAAAAATTGATATGATACAAATTTTATAAAATAACTTGCCAAACCGAACTGACACCCCTAATTAGTAAAGACACCCTATATACAATAAAAATTTTGATTGAAATAGAAAGTGCAACTCTAACCTTCAAATCTTGGGGCTGCCGTGAATACCAATACATAGGACCAGAAATATAATAATCAGAAAATAGGACTATAATCGAAAAGAACCGGCAGAAACTTTTGAGTCAGCTAATTGACATTTGCAAGAACGATTAAAGCTAGAAACTTTATCCTTGGCCACAAGGAACTCAGAATGATCCTCACTGTAAAATGAAAAACAACCATAAGAATTGCCACATTCAAAGTTCTCGATTGTGTTCGCTGAATAATATCACAAACCCATTAACAAATTGGGCTTATAACATAAAGAACTGCGTATATCAAGGAAAATTCAAAGAAGCCCTTTTAATATACAACCATAATCGTGTTAATGGAAGTTTAATGGTGGGTGCTGTTCCTTTGGTGCTAAAGGCATGTACTGCACTTTCAATGCTTAGCCTCGGCAAAGCTTTTCATGCTGAATCTGTGAAATCAGGATTTGATTGTAATGTTATGGTGGGGACTGCATTGTTGGATATGTATGGGAAATGTGGTGAAATTTGGAGTGCCCGGAAGGTGTTTGATTATATGCCTGAAAGAAATGTGATAACATGGAATGCGATGATAGGAGGACATATGAAGGGTGGTGATACAAAGACTGCAATTTTGTTGTTTGAGAATATGTATGAGAAGACAATTGTGACGTGGAATCAAATGATTGACGGGTATGCTAGAAATGGAGCTATGGTGATGGCTAGGAGGTTTTTTAACCGGGTGCCGGATGAGTTGAGGAATGTAGTCACATGGAGTGTGATGGTTGATGGGTATGCTAGTAATGGAGATATGGATGCTGCAAGGGAACTGTTTGAGATAATGCCAAGAAGAAATTTCTATGTCTGGTCGTCGATGGTTTCTGGGTATTTTAAGAAGGGTGATGTTAAGAGTGCCAAGGCCATATTTGATAGGATGACTATGAAGAACTTGGTGAATTGGAATTCATTGATATGTGGTTATACACAGAATGGATGCTGTGAAGAAGCCTTAGAAGCATTTTCTAAAATGCAAGATGAGGGGTTTGAACCGGATGAGGTTACTGTAGTTAGTGTTTTATCGGCTTGCGCACAGTTGGCTTTGCTGGATGTTGGCAAGGAAGTACATGAAATGATAGTTCGGAAAGGGATTGAATTGAATCAATTTGTTCTTAATGGGTTGGTTGATATGTATGCGAAATGTGGGGATTTAAGTAATGGCAGATTGATTTTTGAAGGAATGTCAGTTAAAAATGATGCTGCTTGGAACTCGCTAATATCTGGTTATGCCACTCATGGCCACTGTGTGGAGGCAATTAATTTCTTCGAGAGAATGAAGAGCTCAGGAGTGAAACCTAATGATATAACATTTCTTTCAGTGCTATCGGCTTGTGCCCATGGTGGATTCGTGGAGGAAGGTTTAGAGATTTTCTCCGGGATGGAGAAATATGGGTTGAAGGCAAGCATCAAGCATTATGGTTGTCTTGTTGACCTTTTGGGAAGGGCCGGAAGATTAACGGAGGCTTGTGATTTGATCAAAGGGATGCCTGTCACGCCAAATGACACAGTTTTAGGGGCTCTGCTTGGAGCATGCCGGGTTCACTCAGACACAGATGTGGTAGAAAATGTTCTGAAAGAGGTTAAAAATTTGAGCTCCAGTTGCAATTCCAGTGTTGATGCACATTATGTGATTCTTTCTAATTTATATGCTGCCTCTGAAAGATGGGAGAAGGCTGAAAGGATGAGGTTTGCCTTGTCAAATAAAGGGTCACAAAAGACACCTGGGTGTAGTGTGGTCATGCTTGATGGACCGGAGACTAGTTTTATGCAAGTATTGCCAGAATAATTAACTTCTAAAACATGTTACTAACTCTTGCCATTAGACGATGTTGAGGTGATTGCAGTGACAATCAAACAGAGCTATCAATGCCTAATGTAAAATTAATCCAAAAGAGGTGCCTTCTGAAACTTGCAACATGTAGAAGTTTACTATAATCATTGCTAGCAAAAAATTGTTACAAAACTCAATCTCGAGGAGATGCTCCTCTAATATATTGAACTGTATATAATGCTAGAAGTAAAGTGGCTGCTTCTAAATATTTATATGATTGTAGCCACCAACTCTTCTTCCTTTTGTATTCCACTTTTGCTAAGGTACTATCACACATGGAGTCGATGTGCCAATCAGACAACCCTGAAAGACTCAGCAATCTTTCTCAAATCTTTGTAATACTTTTTCCATTGAAGACCTGTGAAATCACAGAGTTGTAGGATTTAACTACTATATAGCAGATATTCCGAAGATAGGAAGTGCGGATTTGAATTTTTACCATTTCCAGTGACATTGAACAAGTATAGGCGATTTCCGGCGGCTGTTGCTGTGATCATTACGTGTGGTGGCTCTAATTCGAACTGGTAATATTTTCTTCCTGAATGCTCTGCTACTTCAGCTCTTAAGACTTTACCTTCCACACTCTCTCCAATGACTTCAGGCCCAAAAGCGCTGATCACTTTATCTGGAGGTCCAATTTGTTCTATGGTGGCTTCTTCACCAATTTCTGGGTCATATTTGTAGTTAGAATACCACCAAGATTGCATCCGTCAGATATAAATTGAGTTGATATATTTATTTGCCAGTGTGTTTTTTACACGTTCATCCCTATGTCCACCTAATCTCTTTTAGTTCTCTTAGCTTCAGTACTTGAATAGAAGGAAGAAAAAACATGAGATGCTCACCATCTGAAAATCTTTTAACAGGAGCCACAACTACAGAGATACGCCCTTCTTTGGGGTTCGCAAACCTCAAATCAATCTCTGTACCACCTAGATCAGCAATTGACACAGGGACCTGTTCAATAGGTGAAAACTTCAAAAGTGAACCTGACTAAGGTATGTCCAATTGTGCAAAGTAAATTGACATCAAGCTGAAAGGTAATTTCTCTGACATTGTTGAATATTAAAATACATAAAGTTGTGAATAACTGAATTCTTACCTCTTCCCAATTATCAGGCACTGAAAAAGCATAAGGAATGATAGGACTCCATCCAACACCATGTCCACCTGACTTGTCATCCGGTCTTCGATATGTCCTCCAACCTGCCTGAGCAATTTTGCCCTTGTTAAGATGAACATTTACTTGGAAAAAGAAAAAGCACAGACAAAAAAGACGCGAAGAATTTCAGTTATATACACGTTGGCTCTGTGTTCTTTCATTATCTGAATGTAGTCTATGTCTATGCAATTTTCCAGCCTAGACACAATCTTTTGTTGCTATTTGAGGTTGTGAATAATTCTATTTGATTTTGTAAGAGTCTACTAGTTGTCCAAGTTTTCCAACATCACTCATGAATATGCCAATAAGCTTACTGCAGCTTATGAAGTGTGGGATTATGAAACTAACCTTCTTCATCTGGTTCAGAAAGTCCAGGAACTCTCCCTGCTAGGAGGCCTTGTTTCACCACAGCATATCCCTCTCCAGGAAAACCAAGCAGGACTGATGAAATCAAAGAGACTCCAGATACAAGAGTTGACCTCCTATTCCATGAGCCTGCAAATTTTTCACAATCCTGGTTCACATGCACATCTTCTTTAGAACAAGCAGCAGCCTTAATTCTTGAACACCCTTTTTCTGTGACACCATGAGGAACTACTTGGTGAGATGAAATCACCTGTCTGCTCAGATTGTTTTTCCAAGAAAGGCAACTGCTGCTGTATACAAATGTGCCCATTTCCTCTCAACCAAGAAAGTAGGAGAGAGAAATGAGGTTTCTGAAATGTTTTCTATGCAATCTTGAGGAGATCCAATATGGGAAATTTCAAAAAGTGGTTTGCAGATTTAAGCCTTTCTGAATCTGCTGTTGGATTGTTCTCTAAACTTCTGGTATCAGTTCTTCCCTGCTCAAGTTAAAAAGAGCTTTCCGATTGGGTTGATACTTGACACCTAGCAAAAGCTGAGGTCCACAGGCTATAAAATGTCTTGAGATTTTTGTGGTTGTGGTGCGACTGATTTGAAGATTGGTTTTTGCTTCATCAAATAAAGTTTTTGAAAGTTCTGGTTTTACATTTTACCACTTGTCACTTGATGCTCACCAAATTAAAAAATAAAGACTATATTGTGTGGTTATTCCCTTAAGAAATTCATGTAAATGAACAAGAACTTCCCAGATCGCGTGTACTTTTGCAAGTTCAACAAATTTTTGGTTCAATTTGGTTTTTTTGCAAGGAATTGGAAAAAAAACACTTGTAAAATTAATAATTTACCCCACACTCGATATTTGGACCAAATTACAATAAGTTACTATAGTTAAGTGATAAACTAAGATGAGAGTATATATCAATATATGTGAAGAGGTTGTTTCTACAGCTCGAATTCACGACCTCATGGTAAAGTTGTTGTCATGTGACAAGAAGGTCACGAGTTCGAGCCGTGGAAACAGATTCTTGCAGAAATGTAGGGTCAAGCTACTTACGGTAGATCCTTGTGGTCCAGCCTTTCCCCGAACCCCGAGCTTAGTGTACCGGGCTGCTCCGATAGACCCTCGGCATCCTTCCCTCAAAGAACTCCCCACCTTGCTCTTGGGGTGACTCGAACTCACAACCTCTTGGTTGAAAGTGGAGGTTGCTTACCAGCAGAGCAACTCCTCTTGTCTAAAAGTCAAGAGGGAGAACAAACCACAAATCTTTTCTTCTTTCTTCACTTTTAAATAACAAGAATCAAAAAGTCTGTATGAAAAGGCTGGTCAATAATTATATTCCGAGAACGGAAAAGGTCCAAATATGCCTTTGTACTGTACGAAATTGAGTACATTTGCGATTCGTTCATATATGCTCTTACAGTCACATAGTTGGTCCATATATGCCCTTACCGTCACATAGTTGGTTCATATATGCCCCTTTCAAAACAGAATCCACCCAAACTAATTAGCTATTTCTTTAATTGTATTACAAACACTATTTCCTTTTTATTAGTACTTTTTTTTTCTTTACCTTTCTCTTTTCTTTATTCTTTCTTCTTTTCTCTTTTCTTCTTTTTTTTTTTCCTTTTTCTTTCTCCCATATTCGATTTCCTCCATTGTTGATGCCTTCTCCATTTCCTTCACCAATTTCACGTGATTTTATTCCTAAAAATCAAAACTACACCACCAAAAGCTTCCTAGCGAGAAGGCTCTAGTTCTTTTGAAAAGAAGGATACAAAAATTGAGAAAAAATATCGGTGGTGTTAATTTGGTAAAGGTAGGATATGGTTATTCAGATTTTGATAGGTGTTGTTTTCTGTGGAGCTTTATATCTAAAGGGAACAGGACCTTCAAATATGAATAACCATATCCTACCTTCACCCAATTAACACCACCGAAAAAATTTCTTCGACTATTTTCATCTCCTTCAGGCCAGAAGAACCTATGGGGTTTGTGATAGTAAACTTAACAAGAATTCATGAGTTTTGTCAAATGAAATTGGTGACGAAAATGGAGAAGGCATCAACAATGGAGGAAATCGGATATGGAAAAAAGAAAAAGGAAAAAAAGAGAATAAAAGAAGAAAAAAAAAGAAGAGAGAAAGATAAATAAAAAAAGTACTAATAATAAGGAAATAGTGTTTGTAATACACTTTAGTACAATTAACGAAAGAGCTAATTAGTTTGGGTGGATTCCGTGATGGTAAGGGAATATATGGACCAACTATGTGACGATAAGAGCATATATGGGTTAAAGTATTAACGAAGGGAAACTGTGCTCAATTACGTAAAATACAAGGGCACATTTGGACCTTTTCCGTTCTGAGAACCCAAATGAAAACCACTAAGCGGTGCATCCTAACTTCAAAATAGCCTAAGGAATCACAATTCTTGTGACAACCTAATAAACTTTACAACTTTTTCAAGGACAAAACTAATGTTGTATTCTGGGCCGGGGCCGGGCCTAAATGGGCCTAACGGGTTTGGGCTTTGGCGGGCTGGGCTCAGGCGATCCCGAGTCAAACGGTCCCAAGTGATGGAACCGGCCCGCAGTGGGCCTAAGCCCACATGGTCGCGGGCTAAATGGGTCGGGCCCACGGGCCTAAACGGGCCTATGTGGTCCGGGCTATTTTTTATTTGAAATTTTTTTATCTAAGACATTTTCTTGTAAATTTTATATATATATATATATATATATATATAGCCTTATATAATTTCTTGTAAATATATTATAGAATTGTAACTTAAATCTTCTAAAGAGTCAAATTTAAACACAAAAAAAATTGCAAAGAGATATTGAAGGGAATGCCTTATAATTTTTATTATTACGACATTAACAAAAATGGCAATATCTTTCTTAGTCTTCCTCCCCCAATGGAATGAGCACAACAAGGTGCTAATACCACCATTAAAAGAAAAAAAAACTAATGAAGATGTGCCAAAATACAAGTTACATATTAGTCTACATATTATCTCTAACAAATTTCATAAATCCTTCAAGGTTCGGAGGAATTTCCGTTGGTGGTGGTGGAAAATAAGCTTATTCATCACCGCTTCGGGCGAAGCAGCATCCTCCGCAAGTTCCGCTAGCATTTCTTCATAAGCTTCGTCTATCTCCGGTTGTGATTCAGCAAGTCCAAAATTTCTTCTTTCCGAACGGATCCAATCTCTGAAGAGTACTGATTTTTCCAAGCTCTCCCTCATAGACGCTCTATGATCACCTATTTGAAGTCTCGCTTGACTGAAAACGCTCTCTGATTCCACTGTTGAAGCTTGAACACATAAAATATCCCGAGCCATCCTTGAAAGAACCGGAAAGTGTTTTTCTCTGGCCTTCCACCATTTCAAAAGATCAAAGGTGCCGTCTGGATTCTCCTTTTCAAGGCCCTGCGACAAATAAACTTGAAGCTCATTTAGATGTGAAGTATCATCAATATTATCACCTTGAGAACCCCTGAACTCCTTCCAAGAACTAAGTGCTTTTAGGCCCGCAGTTCCTTTAGATGATTGCGAACTAGACGAAGTAGGAGTTGGAACATTTGGTCTAGCATGATCTAAGGCAAGTTGATAAGCATTATAAATTGTTTGAGTATTTATTTTAATTGAGGCTTTTGTATCTGCAAGTGTAGCAAATTCCTCATCTGAAAGATCAAAGCCTTATAAATATTTGAATACCAAATGTGAGGACCTCCTAATTTCATAGTAGGATTTAACATGGCAGCAACACCATAAATAGGGGGGATAGGGAAAAAATATTTTTTAAACTTTTCTTTCATTGCATTTATAGCAAGTTGATAAATTACCTCACCCTCTGAAAATTCAACAAACAAATCACATAGTGCTGCAATATAAACTAAACAGTTTGAAATAGTAGGATAATATTGCCCAGACAATTCATTTGTAGCTTGATGAAATTGTTCTAAAAAATCTATAAGAATTTTAACATTATTCCAATCTTGATTTGTAAGGATTTCATCATCATCCTCACCACCAACACGAGCATTAAAAGTTGCATTTATTGGGTTTCTATATTCATATGCAACAACTAAACTTTCGTACATATAATTCCATCTAGTCGGACAAGCTTTAGGAACCTTTCTTTCTCTAAGGCCAAATTCATCACATTTTTTAAAATATTCTCTAAGTCTACTTCTACGGTTTGAATAAAAAAGCCAATTAAGAGCCATTTTAACCTTTTCAATTTCTAAATTTAAAATTTTCATACCATCACCGACGATTAAATGGTAAATATGATAAATACATCTAACATAGAAACAATTACTAAATGCAGAATTTAGTGTAGTTGTAAGTAAGCCTATAGCATTAGTGTTACTAGAAGCATTATCCATAGAAATTGACATTATTTTATCTCTAACGCAAAAATATCTACAAATATCTGCAACTGTGGTAGCAATAAACTTACCTGTGTGACGTGAATTAATTATTCTATAAGCAATAATGTATTTTTGCATTTTCCATTCTTCATCAATCCAATGAGTGGCTACAGTAAGATAATCACAGTCATTACCACTTCTACCAATATCAGTGGTAATAGCAATCCGACAATCTATATGAGTAAATAAATACAGCAAATATTGTTCATATTCATGTTTATATTAATAAATATCGCTCTTTACGGTTGCGCAAGGCCATCCTTTATAAGTAGGATTAAAAACTTTTCTAATATAATGCACAAAGTGAGGGTTAGAAGGAAAACTATAGGGTAAGCACATAACAGTAACCATTTTTGCTAATTCTTCACGATCTTTATTTGGATTGTAATATAAAATGCCACCGGTCACAGTGTTAATTCCTGGTTGAACTAGATTTGACCCGGTACTAGGGTTAACCTCAGTACCTACACTTCTCCCCTCTAGCTGCGCTTTCATTTGAAGATATCTAGCTTTATCTATAGGGTGTTTCTTTATGTGTCTAGTCAAACTACCCGTACCGCTACGATCTCCAGTAAATTTATGAGCCAACAAAGACCCACAAGTTTTACACTTAGCCTTATTTTGTTCTCTTAGTTGAGTAAAAAAGTTCCAAACAAGTGATGTTTCGGGGCGTTTAGAACGTTGTCTATTAAAAGTAAGAGTTACTACAGGAGGGTCAGGCGGGGCATCAGTTGGGTTATTATCAGTTGGGTTAATAACAATAACAGGACTAGTAGGTGTATCATCTAAATCCGGTTGTGTTTCATCTAAATCTTCATTTTCCTCATCATTTCTCATCATTTTCATCAATAGTTTCATTAGGATAAAGAGCATTCATATATTCAGCATTTAATTGTTGACCTGGTGCAACATCATGGCAAAATTGATTATCGCTAAATTGAAAACATGGGTTATCGCTATCAAGAATAATAGGTGGAGGAGGATGGGTAACAGGTCTGGGTCGGGGAGCCGGGTGAGGGGTAGTAGCTTGGCGACTAGATTCACCAATTTTAGATTTTCCCTTACCACCAAATATTTTTTTCAAAAAAAAAATGCCATATTAATTATAATTATACAAACTAAAACAAACAAAACTATAATATTAAAACTTAAGAGTTGGAACGAGTATACCGAATTGACGAACAACTTCTTGAAAATTTAATATCATTGAAGACTTGAAGACTTGAATACTTTAATTCACCAACTTCACAATTTTTCACGAAATTTCAATAATAAAGTAAGCAATTATAGCAGAAAATTAGAGAGATATTGGGAGAGATTGATGAATTTGTGAATAAAAATGAAAGAATGAAGGGGTATTTATAGTTGAGAATAGGGAAAAAGTATAATTATAAAAAGTTTGGGGTTAAAATAAAATTTGGGGGCCAAATGGCTATTTTTGAAAGTGCCAAACGGCTAAAATTGCAGGCCAACGGCTACATTTTAAAATTCTGACCGTTGGCCCTTTTTAAAATTTTTTTTTTTTTAAAAATTCTGACCGTTTGACCCGGTTGAACCGGCCCAGGCCCACTTGCCGGTCCCGAGCTAAACGGTCCCGGGCTTGCGAGATTTTTGGTAGAGACCGGCCCACTGTGGGCTTTTGGGACCGCTAGAGACCGGCCCGTTTGGCCCGCGGTTCCGGGCCAGTCCCGGGCTAGGCCCGGCCCACAATACAGCATTAGACAAAACACGAAGAAAGAAAATGCAAATAATTAGTGAGATTTTCTCTATAGCTCTGGAGAGAGAAAAAAATTGACTGTGGTCATTTATAGCTCTGGAAAAAATTACAATGCAACTATAAGAAACGCACAATTGATCTACAAGTCGTGTAAAGCATATTCAAGGCAGAGGCATAGGTGGTTTCCACTTGCTGAATTCCACCAAATCTCTGTTGACTATAGTTCTATTATGGAGCCAGAAAGTCTCGGATGACTGATGGAATTGCCTTACTTTTCTCTGCAGTTCCCACATAATTGCATTAAACGCAGAGCAAGAGTCAGACTCGGGAGTATAAGCGAATAAGCATCTGATCTTTCGACCCCTAGCTATCATCTCATCTATGTCTTTATCTGAGAATGAAAGAAAGTTATGTCATTATTCTATTGGCTACAAGCTTTAATGGAAGATGCCAGAACACGAAAGCAGTGTGCTGACCAGGTATTGATTCTAGGTAGTCCAGAAGTTCGGTTCCTATATGAGTGGATGGCCATTTGATTGATATCTGAGTGTAGTCAATCACGTTCTGAAATGGTAATTCTGCTTGGTCTGATAGGATTACTGGAACGCATTCCTGTTTAATTGAAAACATAGCATAAAATAGCTTGGAAAATGCAATTTGACGAATTTTAGTCATTCACACAAGATATGAAAGACTAACCACAAAGAAGGATTCATAAAAGCGAAGCGTCCATGATGATTCACCGCGTGGAGCCAAGCAGAACTTGGCATTGCGGAGATGTTCAAAATATTCCTTCCTTCCTAGCTTGTCAGGACCACTGAATTTCAATTCTGGACATTCCAACTGTTGATAGAATCAAAAAGACCATCTTTTGGACAAACAAGACAATTATATGGGACTCAACTGGAAGCAAACATAATTAGTCATGTTTTATAAAGATCTGTCGGTTGAACTGGAATCAAACATAATTAGTCATATTGAAGAACTATGGATTCTCATGCATGCAGATAAACTGAAAAACACCTGTACCTGCTAAAGAATCAGACAGAATAACGTTTGACAGCTTCGCTACTATGTGTTATCATATGAGGTCAAATGTCGATTTCAAAAGCCTACCATCGGCAGGGATGCAGTAGGAGAGGAAGATCAATTGGACACGTATTTGAGAAAATTAAGAGGGTTGTTCAGGATTTCTGTGAGCTGTTATATCTTTTGAGAGGTAGGGAAAATTTTTCCTGGAGAAAATGACTTCTGAGTCAGACATTCACCATAGATATAATGCTACTACCATATCGACCGAAGATACACTGCTAAGATGTTTTTGGGCTGAGACCAAACCAATTGAGGGAGATGTTAGAGAATAGAAGAACTTAGCAGGACATTATAAGGGGAGTAAAATGGTGAGTTTTTGTATACTAGACTTTTAGTCAAACAATCATGCAACAACTGCTTCCGAAGAGAAACAACCATAGATATGAACTGAATTATCAAATTTAGATATGTTTTAAAATTGATAGTCCACACATGGATAACTGTATCATACACTCCCAAAAATATCTGGATATTCTTAACCAATAGAGCAAACCCTTTTTGCCAGTGAAGTCATTATTCTAGACCAAGCTGTGAAGCCACAAGCATCAAAGACGTAAAATCAAAGGAGACAAGGAGAAAGCATACCTTGTCCGGGAATTGCTTCGCGAGATCTATCAGCTGAAGGCGACCCACCTTTCCTTGTGCTCGACCTAAATAGTTAGCTAAATGTTTCCTCTTCGACAAAGGCAAAGGCTCAACTAGCCTAGAGCCATGAGTAGTCATCCCATCATCAATATTTCCAGGGATTATAATATCTTTCCATGTATTGAAGGCACTAGTGTCTCTTTTATCCGTGCGATCCCCCTGCATTAGATGCAATGATATGTGAATTAACTTATTGAAGATAACAGGCATTACTAGGTACAAGCATGTTGAGAAAACAAACATAAAGAATAACATTAGCAAATTAAATTACAATTGAAAGGAACTTGCTAATTGACTCATGTCCCTGGACAGAGGTTATATTTTCTTTTTTTTAAACGGGCTCTACGCATGATACATTGAATTGTTCAAGGGAAAAATAATCCATCGTCAAAGGAGAAATTGTCACAATAAACTGACCGAGGAAACAACACAGTCAGGGTGAGCGAGTTGCGGTTCCATAAGAGAGACAGATCTAAAAATAGATAAATGCATAGCAGCAACCCTTGAAACATTTTCTACGATTGATGCGGGGTAAGGATTGTAGACCGATATTTTCGAAGACCTTACCTCAGGAGTAAGAATTATAGACCGATTCAAGTACGTTGCCCATGATTTAAATAAATGTGCTCCAGCCCCACTGCAGTTCAGCAAAAGTAACATGCATAAGAAACAAGTCATAATGAAGAATAATGAACCGTCTAAAGCTGTTATTCTTTCAATTAAAATGCAACTAAGAGAATTTAAATGCATGCCTACTTGCATCAGCATTTTAGCACAAGTAACAGTCGGTGATTGATATTTTAAATGACCACAACATTGAAGTTGTGGCTTCATATCTACATCTCAGTTCATGCAGTCACTTGGCTGGGTTCCTGCCTTATTCACATTGCAGCTTTGACAAATGAAATACAACTATCATTAGGCCATATTTTTACTAGATTGCAAAATGCAACTTTGAAGTTGTGACTTCATATCTACATCCAAGCTAATGCAGAACTCAGCTATGCCTGTCTATTCACATACCAGTTTAACAAATGAAATACAACTACCACTGGGTCATCTATTTTCTGTGAAGCAAGTATCTTATAATTGGATTCCTATTCATTCCCTTTATCTATGTGTTTAAAGATCTTCATTTTTTGTAAGGTAAATAATGTGTTTAAATATCTCGCTATGACTAATAATACCTTGGGAAGACAAATATGTGGTTCCGGCCACCAGATAACCTGAAATACGGCATTTGACTTAACACCTGCAAGGCAAGGTATCAAGAAAGAAAATCATACACAAAGGAAAACCTAAATGAAAGGAAATGGATAATGTGACATTGCAGTTGAAGAGATAAATCAAAGCAAAAAATCTTAATCATTGAACTATAGCAATAAATAAAACTTCGAAAGCTATTTGACACTTGACAGTATAAATGTAATGTTAAGGACCCTGATTCTTTAGTACCTTCACATAAGTCTGATTAATCTCTTTGTCATTCAGGCCGCCCATCACTCTAACACATTTAGGATAAGCAGGCACAAAGAAAAGATCTGCCTCTTCTTTCTTTCTAGTCCGCAACCTTGATTGCAAAAGCATCCTGTGTATCTTAACCTATGGGCAAATCAGCAAGATAGAGAAACGTTAGAGACTAATTTCAAAACTAAAACAATCAGCCTAATAACGAAAGATTTTCATGTAATTGTTGGGGAGGTAACAATCTATTCCTTGCAGGTTTTTCCTTGTGCTGCCCTCAAAAAAAAGGAGCCAACAGAAAGATACTCAGATTTTGTCCATACTTAGAAGAAAAAATGGAGAGTGAATTCTCCCCCATACCTTGCAGAGATGAAGAAATTTATTAACACAGAGAGTCGTGCTTGTAACCGGAACTTCGGAAGCTAAGGAAATAAAAAAGGAGAAGTAAAAGGAAAAAAATATTGGAATCTCTTTATTTATTTCCAAATAAAGATGGAGGACTTTTTCTAATAAGTAAAGAGCAAATTATTAATGAAAACCATCACTAAGAAAGTGCTGGTTCGGAAATTACAGCAGAGGATTTATAGTCGCATATACTGCAATGAGCTAAGGAAATGAAGAATGGCTTCAACATCATTCACTATGCCATCTTGCAAAAGATATGTAGCAGAAGTATAGAACTATGCTTAAGGCTAATTACAATTCTAAATTTTCCCTACAAAATTCAATGGTTTCTTTTTCTTTTTTTTTCTTTGATGAAGTAAGTAGAAATTTCAAAAACTCAATGGTTTCTTTCCCTCCAAAGAGTCCACCAAATAGCTGCTGGGATGTGTTGAATTGTCCCACATCGGAGGGATTTGAGGTCCTTGGTCTCCTTATATGGCTTGGGCAATCCTCACCTCATAAGCTAGCTTTTGGGGTTGAGTTAGGCCCAAGGTCCATTCTTATCATGGTATCAGAGCCAGGCCCATCCCAATTATTGTTACCGATGCTGGGCCCCCATTTATGTTGTCCACGCTCCAGAGGCCTGGGCGTGAGGGGGGTGTTGAGTTGTCCCACATCGGAGGGATTTGAGGTCCTTGGTCTCCTTATATGGCTTGGGCAATCCTCACCTCATAAGCTAGCTTTTGGGGTTGAGTTAGGTCCAAGGTCCATTCTTATCGGGATGGAATACCAAATACTATAGTTGCCTTGCTAAATCTTTTTTCTGTGACAACTCTTCAGAAAGTCGAGGCTTGTTTTTTGGCATGGAGCATTTAGTGTTCAGGATACTGAAGAAGAATAACCACATTTGGTGTGTGAAGTGGCAGTGCAGGATGAGATGGTTGACTTCCTCTATTTGACCTTCACAAAGTGGACATCTTGTGCACTCTGGTAAGCGTCTCCTTTGAAGATTGTATTGGGTTGGGCAAGCCTCCTTCGCAACTAACTAGACAAAACACTTAACCTTATAAGGAGCTTTATTTTTCCAGAATTTTCTCCATGGCCATAGTAGATTGGGAGTAGAAAGGTTGGACAGGATGTCGAGTAACTTTGCAAGTAATTCTCAAACGAAGATAGAGAATTACAAGGAAGGATTTCAAGTAATTTCTCAAGTTACAGAGGGACAAATGTGCTTCTCCTTAGTATTTCCTCATACGTCACTTAACCAAAATAATGGATATGTTCCCTGAAGATCCTTTTCTGGTTTCTCCTTTATCAATCTCCCTTCCTTTGCACCAAATACTTCAAATTCGAAAAGAAGAGAGAGTTACAAACTACACAACCCAGCTCACCACCTCAGTACAAGATTGACTTTTAGATATTAATCCCTCAATGTCAGATATGGAAAAGGTAACATTTGAGAATAAATAGGATTTCAATTGTTTCAATAATGTAATAATTGAACTTAGATATGAGGGCAAAATGTAAGTTCTATATTCTCTTATGTACAATTCACCCCTTAGGCAAAATCCACCTCAATCATTCTCTTGCATATCAGTGACCCGATTTAGACTGAAAGTTATTTCAAGTTACCTAGTTTTGTTACTAGCTTTTGATAAACACATTTACACGCATGTTGCAGTTAATTTAAATTCATGCCTTATAACAATTAACTATACTAAAGTAACTTCAAACCGAGATAGGGAATACATAATTAAAACAAAGTAAAATTTTCAGTTAATCATCATTTTCTCACTGTTATGTGGGTGTTACCCAGATCAAATGTTAGAAGTTGCATAATCAATAGGCCAAATAAAAATGAAGCTAATTATTTGTAATACAAACAAAAAACCACAAATTTCCTTATAACTTCAAAAAATTTCCCAATAACAACACAGGGGAAGATGGGAGAAACAACCTGAGTACCCCATTGGCCTTTAAGGCAAGAATCAGGAGAAATCTTCTCATCACGGCCATACAACAAGTGCTTCAACCCATCAATCTCGTTCTCATCATACACGTAAATCTTCAAGGAAAGGTGGGTCCCATACCCACGTTGCGGCCAGAAGATGGACCCACTTGATGAATCCGAGAACCTTACGACGTCGTTCTTGGATCTGTATGGAGTAGTAGGGATTGAGAAGGAGGAGGAGGGATTGAAGGACTGATCAACGATTCTGGTGAGGAAGAAGGTGGTGATGACGAGAGCTAGAGCTCCGATCTGGTGTGTGCGAGTGCAGGGAGTTACAGTGTTGGTGTTGAGCCTGCTCTTGCTGTTGTGTATGCTCCCCATTGTTGTTGCTACTGAGCAGGGCAGTGAGTGTGAGCAGAAAGGCGAAGAAGAATATGGAGACGAAAGTCGCGACGTCGTCGTTTGGTAAGTTAATATACATACAGCCTTCGTTTTAGTTTGGCTTTGTTTTTTGGAAAAAATTTAGGGACAGTTCAAGTAAACCAAACATTTCTATGTATATTATCGCTCCAACGTCTATCAATAATAACTTACTTGCAAACTAAAATACTCTTATAGTTGTGTTTGGTTAGAGAACAAGTTAATGCCATACAGGAATTAGTAATGAAGGTATTATAATATAAAAATTAATAATACAAATGTTATATTTTTTTCAAATAAAAAGAGAAATAAATCTAAAGTGTGTAAGGGCCTTTTGTCAATTTTTCGTACATATATTCAACCATAATTTATGCAAGTTTTTATGTGAAAAACAAAAGAAGCAACCAAACAATACACTACATGATTGTGCAAGAGTATTATGGAATATGATTAAACCTCTTCTTTGACCAATCAAACGGGCTCTAAAAATTTAAGCTAGTCTTATGAACATTATAATCACTTTGAAGAGCTTCCAATCCTGTTTTTGGGAGCAATATTTTCTTCGTAGAATTCCCATCACTTCCTCGTGTCCAAACTGCCAAGGATGAAAAATAATTGATTGAGCTCAAATCATATTATTCTGCCCGATAAAAATTAAGGGTCCATCAAATTATATAGAGAACCAGGTTCTCTATTAGTTACCACAGAACACACGCACACAGCAGTAAGTAAATGACACAATGGAATTTTACGTGGAAAACTCCCAGGTCACGGGATAAAAAATCACGACCTACCCTTGTAGGATTTCAACTTCACTACTGAGCAAACTTTAGATTACAAACTATTGTAACCTAGGAATTAACCTCTTATTCTCTCACTAACTTGTAACAACACTATTACAAGCCACTTTGTAATAACTCTCTTACAAAGACTTTACAGCTCGACTAACTCTAGCCAAGACACAAACAAAAAGGTTTATGATTTACAAAGATTTCCTACACAATGCTTCTAACTAAGCTAAGTAGGAATTACAAGTAGAGTGCTTTAACAAAGGTACAACACAACTAAGGACATTTAATAACTCGATACGGGGAACTGGTCTGTTGTTATGTTGTTCTTTGTTCTTGATCCCTTTGAGAGTCACTTGCAAGACTGATAGATGACTTGAGAGAATGCTTGATCAATTCTTGAATGTGCAAGTGTTTTGTTTTACCTTTGCTTGATGTTATTAATTCATTTATGACATCACTTGAATGATGCAAGCAAGTTAGGTAAAGGGCATTCTCCGTAAAGTTGATTGCTGCACTGTTTTCGCACTGTTGTGAGTGCAGCAATAACTTTACAGCTAGGGGAGTTGACTTGTACAGTCACCGCGGGAACTGTTAGCTATCTGTTCCCTCTGTTGTTCCTTTGACTCTGAAGAGTTGAACTGTGTCCCCAACTGGAGACTTGTTGATCTTTAAGTTCTTGAGGATGTGTATCGGGTTCCTTATCTGGGTCTTCACAGTAAGTTTGTTAGATCATCAAAACATAACAAGGATACACATATAACCTGTCAATTTTTCCCTTTTTGATGATGACAAACTTATAATTCAAGTTTCTCCTAAGAACCAGAATGACTTTCGCGTTTCCTGTATTCCCCCTGAATCTGTTTCCCATCTTGTTCCCCCTTAATTATTTTTTCCCCTTTTGGCATCATAAAAGGATCAAGAGCAGGACTTAAACAAAAAGAAGTCTAGCTTTAGTTAACTCATGCCATATGTGTGCACACAATCATGACTAAAACAGAGTAAAAGAGCAAGGCATAAACAACAAAAGGATGAGATTTTCATTAATTTGGGATAATTAAGGAGGGAGCAGTTCCATTGTTTCCAAACACATCCTCAAATAAAAACAACAAAAACAAAAGGATCAGTCATAAACATCATCAGGACTAAAACAAAATACGAACACTAAGGACTTGACACTTGGGAAGGAAACACTGTTTAGGAAGCATTGGAAGGGAAAGGCCCAGATGAAGAGGCAAGGGTTTGAAGAAGGATGTCCATTCGAGCATTAGCTGACACCTGCTTGTTGAGCAGTCTCTCCTTCAGGTCCTTAACCTTTTTCTTGAGGTCGGCATTTTCCTTGGTTTGACGGGCAACCTCTGTGCTTTGAGAGCTGCTAGAACAGGTGCCTCCTGAAGCTGACTTAGCTGACCCTCAAGAATGGCATTCCTTGCCTTCAGCTTCCTTATCTCAGCAGTGGCACTGTTTTGGGCGTCGATCAATTTGGAGATAGTAGAAGTGCTGCCAACTCCTCCAACCTTTTCAATGCACTCACATTCCTCAAGGGTGGTCTTGGAGAAAGATTGCTTACAGGTACCCACTTTAGCTTGTCCCAAAGGGACTTTGAAGAACTCAAACTCCTTAGTAAAGAGGAACCCGTAAGGCAGCTCATGATTACCATCTTTGAAATCTGCCACCTTTTGCATGTGTTCTATCATCATGGAAGGCGGGTTGATAGTTGTGTAGCCATCTAGTGTTTTCTTGAGAACCAGGTCTGCTCAAGATGTAATGGACCTTCTCTAAGCACGAGGAAGCAAGGCCTTGTTCACCATTTCAAACAATAATTGGTATACTGGAAGGAGGGCCTTCTTTTGTAACTGTTCCCTGTGCTGAACTGCCGCATCCTTCAAGATAGCATTTCTAAAGTTTGAAGAGAAGGTTTCCTGAACAGAAGACAAACCCTCAACGGGCACACCCAAAATAGTTCCCAATACAGCAGAGTCCATCACAAAATCAACACCATTTACCATCATACAAATATGATTGTCCTCAACTGTGAAGAAGTTGGCATAAAAACTCCGCACTTCTTCCTTATACACTTTGGGACTGTCACCTGTGAACAGGTGTGTCCACTGTTGAAATTCACAGTTTCCACCAATTGACGCATGCCAGCCATTTCTAGAGTATTAGGGGCAAATGTACGGCCCCACAACACTTTTTGATTTTTCAATTTTTCCTTCTCAGGACCCTGGGTCGCATCAACCTTGACCTTCTTTGAGGAACCAGGTTCCTCACTAGCACTAGCCTTCCTTTTCACCGATTTTCGAGCACTCTTTCCTTTCTCAGTAGATGACACTTTGTCAACAGACTTCCCAACCATATGTTCACCAGACTCTTCAACCAGATTTTCACTAGATTTTTCACCTTCGACATTGCTCACACCCATCTCATTCTCTTTCTCAACAGATTTTTCACCCTCAACCCTTGTCAACTCCTTTCTAACCACGGAGAACTCCCTTTTGGACTTTGGAACAATAAGGTTCTTTGAGGACTTACGAACCAAAGAACCAGGTTCCTCTTTTACTTCATCATCAACATTCACGACTAGTGCAGGAGGCACTACCTTTTCATTGACAACCTTTCCGTCTTTCACCAATCTCCTCGTCTTCTTTTCCTTTTTACTTTGCCTTAAAACAGACTCAAATTCTTCCTTCTTTTGCAACCTCGTGATGGGTCTCTTAGACGTTGACCCCTGGGAGGTGCCTTTCTACTCTGAGAACTGATAAAGCTCGCTAGAGCCACATTATCATAATCTTCTTCTTCACTATCCTTATTTTCCTCCTCAGACACGGATCGCATCTCAGGGACAACTATGGAAAAAGGCTCAGCGTAGAAGTGAGGAGAGGGAGCAGGATCAATACTGACCTGGGGTGATTGAGAGGAACCAGGGGTTGGCTCCTCTAGGTTAGAAGAATCAGGTCCCTCAGTAGGTGCCCCAGTATTACTGTCCAGTGCTGATGTTTCAACAGGCACCAATTCCCTACTCTCCATTAGTGTACCATTTTCTTCCCCCTGAGACTCAGACACACCTTCACCACCCCAAATGATACTTCCCTCAGCACCTACAGACAACATGTTTTCTATGGCTTCTTGTTCTTATACCCCCATGGTAAACTCAGAAGTAGGAAGAGTATTACCTATAGAATCAAGGACAAGGGTCGTCATTATCAATTTAGCTGGGATATGACCAACACTTGTTCCCCCTCAAGAGTAGAGCTTTCTTGCACAGGCAGACTAGAAATTTCAGGATTTTCTTCTCTCTCTACAGTATCCTGCTTGACCATCTCTTCAGGTGAGGCAGAAGGAGAGGTCACCGCCATAAACTTTTTGGGAGTCGAAGTTTTGCGACTCCGATGAGAACTAGTACTCGACTGGGTCGGAGAGGTGGGTGGTTGTGACTTTGATTTAGGGTTTGGACTGGTCGGAGTGGGGAGTGTTGGCTCTGACACTGGTGCTTCAATGGGTGAAGACATAGTGGGGACGATGCTTAGAGCACTTTAGGCTTCCTGATTGTCAGACATGATAGAGTTTGGTGAGTGTGAAGAAGAAGATGTTTGGTTTGAAGAAGGGAAAAGAGGAATTTTGGAATTTTTGATGTGGATAGTTGTGAAAGTGACTGAGAGGCGTTATTTAATAGGGGTGAGGGACCGGTTAGGAATGGGTGGGAATTTGGGTAGTCGGGTCGCTTTATAAAGGGGCGAGACACTTGGGTTCAAAAAGCAGGATAGAAAAGAAACTAACAAGTTGATGACGTGGCACCGTTTCAACCGTTTAAAAATTATGCATGAGAGTACAGAGGAACTACTAACCTGTGTCGAGGGAACCAAGTTCCCTGACAGATTTTGCAAATGTAAGCCTCATCCTTTGACCAACTTGCAATGCATTAGCTGCTTCTTTGCTCTGTAATCGTCATGCGTGTCTACCTGTAACGGTATAGATCAGTTAGGCTATGCCAGAAAACACTTTTTATCTACTTTACCTGTACATCTCTTACGTAGCCAATCATCGAGGGACTAGGTCCTCGGCTTGATTCAACCCTAGAGACAAGCGATTCCTTTCAAAGTGCTCTCTGCTCAGTGTTTTGGTGAATATGTTTGCAATTTGATCTTCTGTGCTGCAGAATTTCATATAGATAAGCCCCTTTTCAACATTGTCTCTGAGAAAGTGATATAGCACGTCAATGTGCTTTGTTCTCTTATGTTGAACTGAATTCTTGGACATGTTGAGAGCGCTAGTATTGTCACATAGTAAGGGAAGGAACTCAGAGAACACACCAAAATCTTCCAGCTGCTGTTTAATCTATAACAA